GCAGGGCAGTGGGGAGCGGTGAGGATCCCCCCCTGCCCAACAGCACCCACTGAGTCAGGGCTTTTTTTTCAAAGTGCCAGGAGCTGGGGCAGGTGGGGCAGCTATTGCCAGGCTGGGAGAGCGGGCGGGGGATGGGCCTGGGCGATTGGAGATTTGAAGCTTCGGCAGTAGCTGAATCAGATTCGGCCGAATCAATTTGGGACGGTGATTTGAATCACCGAATCAAATCACTGTCCCTCAAACTGGCTTAATCCGAAGCTAATACTAGCCACTTCACACAGGCCTAATAAGCATGGCTTTCTCTGTGACACGCTAATGTGCAATAGAATTAGTCTAGTGTGCATTTAGCATCTCATATAGACACACCACGTGTAGTAACCTAGTACTACAATATGAGGTGACTAGTGAAATATATTCACAATTAAGATACCAGGGTAATATAATTATCTAATACTTGTGAATATGGGAGCAAGGGCCAGCATCCCTTTTCTCTGGCAAAACATGCAGTGCGCCAAATCCTGCTCCCAACTCTAACAGTGCCTCTGCCTTGTATTTCAGGCACTCACATTAGGCCCTTCAAATTCACACAAAGTTTTGCTCAGGTAAGAGCATCAGGATTTGGATCCTGTATTTTTAATTCCCCTCCAAAATGCTATTTGAAAACAAAAATTCTAGAATATTATTGGTATAAGGTTTTCATGGGAACTGCTAATAGGCCTTTTACACATTTCTGGTGCTGCTTGTAACAGGGCAGTCTCCTCAGTGCCCATTACAATTGAAGCAGTGACACCCAACTTGAGATGAGGAGAGAAAACTTACCAGTGTCTGACCCCTCACTTAGAAGGCTGGGTTGGCATGTACCACCAGGAACCCAGGTGTTCCCAGTCTGATTCTGCCCCGGCTGTAGCGGGAAAGCATGCGGGAGCTGCACCATCTCCTATGGGCTCTGAGTGGGGGAGCCGGAAGTTAAACAGAGTGAGTCCAGCAGACCAACTGCCCCAGAGAGGGGATCACACGAATATGGCAGTTAATCCTACCACACGGAGGTGCAGGGATATACCTAGGAGCTCCAGCTGTTTGGAGAAATGAATGAAACTAAAAGTAAGTGGATACATACCTTGAGTGAAGAAGTGGTGCAAATGTCTTCAGAATGGGTGAAGAGCTGCGACAGGGTGAGTGATGACACCACAGTGTGTTTCTCCTGGGGGAAGGAAAGAAATGCGAAGATGGTTTGTCAGTTGGAGAGACTTGGGGTTAAATTTCCCCTCACCCGAGAGTCATCCTGACTAAGGGAAAACCTGGGAAACTTGGTGTGATTAAGGGGGTGAATACAAATACCGGGAAGGGTTGATGGATGCTGGGCACCCTGAGAAGTTAAGGGCCAATAACTGAGACTAATTGATTGAAAGTAAAGATAGCTGGTAACCCTATCAACAATAAACCTAGGCTGTGGAGAGAACAGCTGGGAGAGAGTGAGGGGAAGAGTGCCTCTAAAGACAACAGTGAAGAGTCAGAGAAGAAGAGAACCATACTGTTTCCATTTTTTGATCTTCTGGATCAAGGGGAGAAGGGGCCCAAAGAGTTCATATGCCCGGAACATCCCAGGTGAGGTGAGGACAGGGTGTGGGGGTGGAGGAGCCATGTAAAGAAGCTCATAGCCATTATCCGGATGTAACAGGTAAAGTTTCGGAGCCAAGCCAAACTGTGACCCGCTCACCTGTTCCTGTGGCAACCACCCGCCTTCTCGCCTGCCATGCCTTGATGTTAATTAATTAGTTCATGTTAATTAGCAGGAAGCTGCCATTCTCCTGGCCCGTTTGCAGGGGGTGCTGTCTGCGGCACCTTTCCTCCCCAATACCGCAGCCCAAGCCTCGCAGATGATATCGACGTTGGTCTGTCTCTCTGTCTATATTCACGCCCGTCTCCTGGGCCTTCTCTGGTGTGCTGCCCCCTTTCCTGGGGCCTTCTCTAATAAGGCGCTCCCCTCTTTGGGGCTCGGCGTGCCCACCTTGGGCTTCTTAAAATGCTGCCCTCCTCCTGGGGACTCTCTGCACCCACACTTGGGCTTCTCAAACGTGCGCTCCCCTCCCTGGGGCTCACCACACCCACGCTAGGGCTTCTCAGAAGTGCGCGCCCCTCTCTGGGGCTTACCACACCCACACCAGGCTTCTCAATAACACCCCGTCTCTGGGGCTGGGGTCTATACACCCCATATGCTGCGCCGTCCTGGGCACCGGGGTCCTCACACTCCGCTGTGAGGCCCCTTTAAGGATACTGCACCCTCACTTGGGCTTCTCAATGTTGCCCCCTTTCTGGGGCTTGCTACGCCCACACTGGGCTCTTCAAACACCCCTCTCTGGGGCTGGGGTCTACGCACCCCGTAAACTGCACCCTTACTGGTGCCTGGATCCCCATGCTATTGTGGGTCTCCTATGAGGCCTCCTCCAACCCCTAATAGCCTCACCCAAACCACCGGTTCAAACAACAACAAAACACAAGCCCCTGGGCTGTAACATAAATTGAAGCTGCCTGGCTAAAACAACATTGCTCAAGTCTCTGAGAGCTGCCATAAGCTGTATCAGGCTTTTCCTCATCTCCTGCCTTAGGGAGCTCCTGCCTCTCTAGCTGCTGGCAGCAAACTGCTCCTGGGCTCAGCTCCTTGGGCTTTATAAGGGCCAGGCCCTGCCCCCTCTGGTCAGCTGACCCTCCCTGGTTGCCCCGGCAACCCCCAGCTGCGCTCCTTAGCCACTGCTAGGACTCCTTTTCTAGCAGTTTTCCCCTCTTCAGGCACAGAGCCCCTGAGTGCTCTGTGACACCGGACCATAATTAGGAAGTATCACCTCCCAAAATCTGTTTTTCTTTCTTTGTATTTGTTTTTCCATCAAAGGCGTGGCGGGAAACCAAGAAAAGAGAGTAATATCAGAAGCCAAGTAGAGACTGATTTGTTGGGGAGTACAAGAGCAATGTCTACATTTGGTGCACTGGCCAGGAAACCAGTTGAAAATTCATTAAGGTCAGTTAAATAGAAAGATGACACTGGGCCAAGTACAAGCTGAGAAGGAAAACTGAGAAAGCCAACCCAGCAGTGGGGGTACCCAAGGACTGGCAACAAGCGCACAAGCTAGTGTTGCAGTTACTCCAAGAGCAGCAGGCCCAAATGGAGGAAATGAACAGGGTAAGGTTCCAAGAGGCAGAGGTGAGAATCGCTGTATTAAGCTGACAGCAAGAGCTCAATGAGAAAATTGAAGCCCAGCAAGCAGCCGTGATGAGAGTTTCAGCAAATTTGAGAATCCCCAAGATGATGGTAGAGGATGATATAGAAGCATATTTGGAGGCATTTGAAAGGGCCGCACTGGCCACCAGCTGAAACCCAAGCGGGTGGGCCCACCAATTAGGTCCTTTACTGATTGGGCAAGTGCAGGTAATTTATTCTGTCACAGAATGAGGCTAGTAATTACCAAACCATAAAAAGGTGATTTTGTACAGATTTGAGATCACCCCAGAATTTTATCATCAGCAGTTATGGGCTAAGAAAAAGCAGGAAGGGCAACATCCTAGCATATTGGCCCAGACACTTAGAGACTTTATCAAATGGTGGATCCAGGTGTAGGGAAA